CTAAATTTGATCCATATTCAAATTTTCTTTGATTTTCAAAGCGTCGTAGGAAAACTGTAGTATTATTTCTGGAATATAATAAGTTCTTTAAATCATCTGCTAATTTATATCACAAGTCAGATATAAAAATGTTAGATTACATAAAGATCTGTACAGTTTCAGCCTTCCCACTGAAAACAGATATTCAATTCTAACCTGATCCTTCATTTGAAATTGTTTTCAATATGATGTAATATCAACAGAATTTCTCTGAAGAAAAGACAATATCCTATTTTCATGTAATCTATTTGTGGTAGATATAATCTGTCAAGGAATATTTTCAAATTGAATAAAATAAAGGAATCTGAGCATGATTATGAAACAATCAGGAGAGGATATCATTTTAAAAACTTCTGTTCAACAACGATACGACTTGGAGGTGGAGTGAATATTCAAAACAGTTGTTAATTGATAGCAAGAATAGTTAACGAAAAGTCAACAAGGAATATTTTCACTGTTTACGAATGTTCTTATTGGAATATTCTCCATAATTCATAATTTTGAACTGCTACGTAGGTGTAACACTCTGTAATGATAGATCAGACACTGCACAGGAAATGAGATATAAGCATTTGGTGCTCATTTCTTCCACCACAATGAAAAAATTCCAAACTGCTGAAAGGAATTACAAAGAACGTATTTTTTATGAGTAAATGAAACCTTTTCTTTTAATTTGTTCTTAATTTGTTACTTTAATAATTCACTTGTTATTAAAATGGCATACACAAATGAGGAAATGGCTGATATGCATTACGTTAACGGTCTGTCGCAGAGGAATGGGTCAGAAGCTTCTAGAAGATATGCTGAAATGTATCCTCAACGGCAGCATCCTTCACATAGAATATTTGCTCCACTTCATCAACGATTACGAGAATATGGTTCATTCGACGAAAGAACAGCACATCTTGAGGAAGCAGTACTTAATTTGATTGAAGAACAGTACTAGAACAGTACCAGTACAAGAAAGATTGCTTTTCAGCTAAATGTTGATCATATGACGGTTTTTCAGACTTTGAAGGAACAACTCCTATACCCTTACCATCTGCAACGAGTTCAAGCACTGTTACCGCGAACTTTCCGAACCGTCTTGAATTTTGCAATTGGATCTGTTCTGTTCTGTTTAAAAATCTGTTTAAATCTGTTCAAGAATGTAGTTTTTCTCGGGACAAGATTATCAATTTTCATAATTACCACATATGGGCTGATGAAAACCCTCGCGCTATTGTCAAAACTAACCATCAAGAACAGTTTTCTCTTAACGTGTGGCTCGGAGTTATTGTGGATGATTTAATTGGGCCTCATTTTCTACCTCCCCGTTTAAGAGGTGAGGCATACGTTCAATTTTTGAGAGAAGTGCATCCAGTACTGCTGGAGGAAGTTTTTTTTGGCATCAAAAGGGATATGTTTTTCATGCATAATGGGGCTCCCGCCCATTTCAGTCAAGTAGCACGTCAGCATTTAACTGAAACATATGCAAATCAGTGGATAGATCGAGAACTGGCTTGCTCAATCCCCGGATCTCAATCTTTTCGATTTCTCTATTTGGGGCCATTTACAGCATTTGGTTTATCGTACTGATGCATGTCGATGTAGAGGACTTAAGAAACCGCATCATCGATGCATGCAGGGTAATCAGAGAGACTCCAGGAATATTTGAGCGAATACGTGGCTCAATGCGCCGACGTCTAGATGCATGCGTAATGTCTGAAGGTAGACATATTGAACATTTACTATGATTTATACAAGTTGTGTGTTTTGTTATTAATAAATTAGTTTTGTTATTACCCTTTAATCGTTTAATGCAGGTACTAACTAAAAAATAACAATAAATCCAGTTCGCATTTATGACGATGTATCTCTGTAGTTGTTCGTAAAATAATTTTTTGCTGCGAACTGGTTTATTTTGGGTAAAAAACCCAAGAGACATTTTTTGTTGAGAATGAAACAGGCTATCGGAAATGAATTCTTAAATGGTAAACAAATAATAAGACAAAAAGTTACATTGGAAATAAATTTTAGGCGTTGCGTTTTCCACCCCTTACAACCATGGGGTAAACCAAATAAATTACTGGCTGAGTATCTTTTCGGTAGTACAAAACGTCAGGTCAATTTCAGTATTGTAACTTCTTTAGTACTTGTGAAAAAAATTGTTATACAAATTTTATGTACCCCCTTTAAGGGGCTGTATCTTAACAAGGGATGCACCAATAAAGTTTCTTTATATGAAAGATCCTATCTTTTTTTCGATGGGGAATCACCTCCTTAAATTTTTCACACTTATTCAGTTACACCCTGTATATGGAGCTAAAGAAGTATCAATTCAGTCGTGTGGTCTAGAGCACACTCGCTTTCTTTATCAAAAATCGATTCAATATCGTTTCTGGCATCAGTAACAGATCAGCTTACCAAACATATCGATTGCAGCGTCCCACCTAGTGACCTACTTCTCCGGTTAGGGGAGCACGACCTTTCCACCGAATCGGAGCCTTATCTGCATCAAGAGAGGAGAGTGCAGGTCGTCGCATCGCATCCCCAATTCGACCCCAGGACTTTCGAATACGACCTGGCCCTGCTGAGGTTCTACGAGCCCGTCACGTTCCAGCCAAACATATTGCCGGTTTGCGTTCCACAAACGGACGAGAACTTCGTGGGACGAACTGCCTACGTGACTGGATGGGGGCGATTGTACGAAGGTAGGTTACTTTTCACAGCAACCCCCAATAACGATAAAATCTATTAATGTATTCAGTGCTAGAACTATTCAATTGTTGATCAAAGAACAATGGATACATGAAGATATAATAACAAAATATTTGAAATAATAATAGATAGATAGATATTCATTTATTTTTGGAACTCCTATAGACGTCTCCAAAGCCTCTGATCGTGCTGCTGTATCTTTCAAGTTCAGTTCTACGATTTGCTTTCTGTTTTTTAGATACAACTTGAAACAGTCATAGGAGTTCCCTCAAATTCCATATTTGTAAAGTTCGTCTAGTTGAAGATCATGATCTATGCAATCAAAGGCTTTGGATTATTCCATGGAAATCCCATAGAATAGATCCCCTCTTTCCATTGCTTTCAGAATAATCAATATGACACCAATATAATATCAACATTCCACACATTATTCTATGTTTGGAAAAAAAACATAGAAAGTTTAAATTCTCTTTTCTTCATTATGATTTCCTACCACGTAGTAACGGCTACATCCATCAATTCACCCACATTATTTCTTTGCCATATTACTACAGTAGCGGAGCATACATTTGCCTATAGGCACGTCGGTGCCTATAGTCGTTTACCTTCAGTTCCTGAGTCAGTTGAATTTTGTACGAGTGCCGGCCCAGATGAGTAAAGATAACATCAAAATCCTACACATATGGAATTAAAAAAAAAATTAATTTGTTGGAAGCCATGGAAATTAACAAATCAATTAAAAGCCAGTATGTCATTTGTTAATACATATGGAATTGAAAAAAATTAATTTGTTGGAAGCCGTGGAAATAAACAAACCATTTAAAACCCATAAATATGTACCCCTAAACGAGCAAATCGATTTATGTAGGTCTCCGCTATTGAATTCATAAGTTTAACAACCCTATAATCTTCAGTCTTGAATTTTAAAGTTGAAGTTACAGGTAGTTAAAGAACCCTGGTTCGTTTAACTACTTGTCCTTCCATTTTACCTAAAAACCCGAGTTTTCAAATTTCATATTTTAGTTTTATACTTGATAATGGAGTCAAAGCCGACACCGGTCGTATAAATAAAATTAACTAGTGGTGATTAGACAAAAGTGTTTTTATTCATTTCATTGTTTAGAGTCAATCCTAGTTTCACATTTGTTTGTTTGTATACATTATGTGATCTTGGTATAACATTAATGTGCAATCATTAATAAAGGGTATACCTTGACTCACTTCTTTCCTACCCAAATGTCTCATAGTCGATAAAGTAATTTGGCTAGTAGGATTATTATTTATACAGCTTCTCATTGTCAACTGCTATTGCGTCAGTCGTAACCAATGGTGTCTTTATATATTCTACAAATGGATATTATTATATTATCATTCTTGACCAAATATCAAAATGAGTAAATTGTACCAATCAACTATTTTGCTGTTCACATAGTTTTGTGAACTCAGGTTCCCCTAAAACAATTGAAGGAAACTGATTTCATGCATAATTAGATTGTTAACGGTGACGAAGAATGCTAACAGAAATTACCGCTTAGATCCGTTTCTATATCCAATTAGGGAAATTATCGAGTCGCAAAAATCGTTCTCACTGGAGTCCGTAGTAAATGTTATCTAGAGCTAGACTTCTTTCATTTCCGCAGTACATTTATAAAAGATGAGACACTTTGCTCTGGAATGTTTTATTCTCTCGACGAATGCTTTGGCCCAACCAATAGGATTATATAGCTATGAAACAGTTAGTCAGATTCATAAGTTCAGTTTTCAAACCAATGTGTGACTGAGCGAAATGTTATTGGAATATGGCAGAAAGCATTATTTATTACAATTGGATAAATTGATGGATGTAACCGTGGTAGGAAATCATAATGCTGAACATAAAAGGTCATTCAGACTTGGCATGCAACCATACGTCAATTTTTATTTCTAAGGGGACTAATTCTGATATGAAAATCATACCCAAAACTTTACCCCCCTGCGGTCATGAACCACCGCCCCTATTTTTTTCCAGTGGCATGGAGGGTCGAGTTAAACATCATTTGGAAGGACTTTTGTCCCTCAACTACCTCTGTATTTTTTTTGGTGCATTCGTTTTCGAAAATTAAATGTTGAACGCTGTCGCTCATTTCATTGAGGAAATCAACAAAAGTAATATCAATAGCAACACAATCAACGGATAAAGTATTCCAAATGACCTCCATCTAGTTCCATACAGTCTACTTTCGAAAGCGTTTCGTACATTATTCAAGATGTCCGGAGTCAAAAATCGGCATTCACGAACAATTCTCTGTCACAGGTTTTCTAGATTTGTAGGCTTAGTAGAGTACACTTTCGACTTCAGGTGTCCCCACAGAAAGAAGTCCATCGGTGTGAGATCAGGTGATCTAGCTGGCTACTCCACTGGACCCCTTCTGCCGATCCAACGCATTGGAAAACGTTCGTCCAAAAACTGTCTCACCAGAACATCAAAATGTGGGGGGCACCATCGTGCTAGAATATTATTTCATTTTCTACCTTCAATGAAGAATGGTCCAACAATATGATTACCAAGAATGCCGGCCCAGATATTCAATTTTTGTACACTTTCGACTTCAGGTCTCCCCACAGAAAGAAGTCCATCGGTGTGAGATCAAGTGATCTAGTTGGGTACTCCGCTGGACCCCTTCTGCCGATCCAACACATTGGAAAACGTTCGTCCAAAAACTGTCTCACCAGAACATCAAAATGTAGGGGGTGCACCATCGTGCTAGAATATTATTTCATTTTCTACCTTCAATGAAGAATGGTCCAACAATATGATTACCAAGAATGCCGGTCCAGATATTTAATTTTTGTGGTGTTTGTGAAGGTATTCCCATCATCAAATGAGGACTCACATCACTCCAGTAACGACAATTATGTCTATTCACTTCACTATTCAACATGAAAGAACTTCGTCTGAAAAACATATATTGTATAATATGTTCGGTAACTGAATAGAACTGGCCGATACTTGATGAAAATCCATATTAAAAAACTAATCAATTCAGTTTATTATATGATTTTCATTATAAGGGTTTTACAAAAACCGCGACACGTGTTTCGCTTTACAATAGCTTCTTCAAGCATAAACTGAGAGTTACTTCTAAATTACACCATTTTATACTATAACCTAGTACCTATTCGTCTACCTAAGTAATAAATCTACCTGGAAAGATCAGGTATCAATACATTTTTGGAAAGTCTACCTGTAAGTCTACCTGCGAATCAACAGATTCAATGATGACGAATTATTCATCGTTCATAAGATGTTGGGAGTTTTTGAATTTGTTCATTTCCATACTCTCCGTTTTACTCATCTTGCAAAGGTCTCATAATGGGAAACCCACTTAGTCCTATTCTGGCAGAGATTCTCATGGACGATTTGGAGAGAAGAATACACAGTAACCCACTGGTAAAAAGTTTCGTGTATTGTTATAGATATGTGGATGATATCCTGGTATGTTTCAATAACAAAAGTTAACAACAAACATGATTTTTCAATTTATCGTAAACTGTATTGATTAGTTTTTTAATATGTTCGGGTTATTGGTCAATTTCTCGCTGAACACATCACAAAACTGAAATCTGCGATCAGGATCATCTTCGTTTGATTCCTGAATTAGCCTTATTTTGAAAGAAAGGAATTTGTAGGCTTTCATTTGTCATTTGTCTAACAGATTGTCAGTTATCCATTTGCACATGAGTTAAAACTGCCACTTCAACTCTGTCATTTCTGACAGGATGGGATAATTCATGTTTTCAATTGTGAACAGAACCTGAAGGTCGAAACTTATCCATTCGTATTATAAATTCTTGCAGCAGCTTTATTAGCACATTAATTATTTCGATAATAAGTTGCAACAATTTCTATTCTTTCTTCAGTAGAATAAACCATGTTGGAACACAGTGAACAAGGATGACTGAATGATAATTCGTGAAAAAGTGACAGTGACCAACTATATACTTTTTGTTCTGCGACAACTAGATTCAACAAAAACTACCAGTGCAGAAAAAACTAACAGTTCGTCCATTTCAAAATGTGTACTATTAATTGAATGAATTCTACAAATCTAGAAGACATGCTACAGATATTTGTTCGGTAATGCCGATTTCTGACTCCGAACATCTTCAATAATGTAAGGAACGCTTTCGAAAGTAGACTGGAGCTCATTTTGAACACTTTATTGTGTTTATTAATTGTGTTGCCATTGCTATTACTTTTGTTAATCTGCTCAATAAAATGAGATATACCGAATTTTCTGTTTTTTCTTAAATGAAACGTTCAGTTGAATTCCACTAGTTCGGACTTTCATTGTCTACTATAAAATAGTACTATAAAATACCTGAAACAACTAAAAAAGAAGAAATAAAAATGAATAGCTGAAAATAACAATTATATTAATCAAAATAAACCTGAAATGAGACAATAGTGAAATAAAATACAAGTAAAAATAGAACAATTGGATAAAAAAAATGAAGAAATGAAAAAAGAAAATAAAAATAAAAAGTAGAGAGATTCCAAGTCACGTTAGTTCACGACGTTTCGATTGTTAGTATCTACAATCTTCTTCGAGTGATGACTGGACTGATTCCTTCGAAAGATGACTATTTATAGGTCGTTTGAGTACTTTCACTTATCCCCGCTTGCCATTTTCCGCTTCACTGGTTCCGTGGGAGATGTCCGTTTTGGCGGGAGTTGGCCATTTTTCGCTTGATGATAGGTTTCCATATGTTGCGTATTTCTACGCTGGCTTGGCTGAATATGTTTTTGGACAACATGTATGCGGCTTCTTTGAATTTTCTCACAAAACAATGTTCCTCTCTGTGCAAGATCTCAGCTTGGGACCACTCGATGTTGTGTTGATGGGTCCAAACATGGTCTGCTATTCCTGATTTGCTGGTTTCCCCTCGCTGTGTGTGTTTCNATTGGTCCATGATCATCTTTCAATGTCTCTCTTCTCATTCCTTCAAATCGTTCCGTGGCATCCTGTAACAAAGTTGACTTCTTCCAACGGTGATAATCGATTTGATACCTTATCAGTGCTCGGCTGGCGCGTTCCAATATGCGTTCAGCTCTCTCTCCTGGGATTGGCGATTTCAGCAGAAATCCTTTGGGGATGATCGAACAATCGAAACGTCGTGAACTAATGTGACTTGGAATCTCTCCACTTTTTGTTTTTATTTTCTTTTTTCATTTCTTTATTTATTTATTTTTTATTCAATTGTTCTTTTTTTACTTGTATTTTATTTTACTATTATCTTATTAAAGGTTTATTTTGCTTAATATAATTGTTATTGTCAGCTATTCATTTTTAATTCTTCTTCTTTAGTTGTTTCAGGGATTTCAAATCATTTTATATAGTAGACAATGGAAGTCCGAACAAGTGAAATTCATCATGAAACATTGTCAATCACCTTCAAAAAAAACGTTCAGTATTCAATCCCCTAATGAAGAATAAACCAATTGAGAAAAAAATTACAATAGTGATAGAGAGACAAAAGACCTTTCAAATGATGTATCACTCGTCCCCCCATACCGTTGAAAAAAGTAGGAGAGTAGTTGTTGACCGCAGGGGGTGAAGTTGTGAAGTTTCTTCGAGTATGATCTCCATATCAGAATTAGTCCCCCTAGAAATAAAAATTGTCGTGTTCTTTTAAATCTTCGATCACACGTTCGTTTCTGACTTACAGTTGGGGTCAAGTTTTCGTTGGAAGGCGCTATATTTGAACAGTACCAAATCACATTCAGTTCAGGATTATTACAAAAACCAATTATTTTTTCAGATGGTCCGCTGCCTAGCATTCTGCAAGAAGTATCTGTTCCAGTCATCAACAACACAGTCTGCGAGTCCATGTATCGCGCAGCAGGCTACATCGAACATATCCCCCACATTTTCATCTGCGCAGGTTGGAGGAGGGGAGGATTTGACTCATGTGAGGGAGATTCCGGAGGCCCGATGGTGATTCAACGCGAAGACAAGCGATTCCTCTTAGCAGGAGTAATATCCTGGGGAATAGGATGCGCTGAACCGAATCAGCCTGGGGTTTACACTCGCATCAGCGAGTTCAGACAGTGGATCAATCTTATTCTGAAGTTTTAGACAACGAGAGCGGCTTTTTTGTAATGTGATCTCCTGACAGTAGACATAGTGTGGATGACCAAAGTGCCTCTCTCCCATACATTTGCTGATTGATAATGCCTGACGTACCAACTGTTCTATGAAAGTAGTTTTTGATGCATTGTTTCTTAAATTTTTCCTCTGCTGAATAATTTCATGTCAACTTTGCATTCATTAGTTATATTCTTCAAGCAGAAAATAGAAGCAGATGACGCTTTCGCAAAAATAACTGCAATGCTCAGTTCTCATTGTTAAGAACAGAAGAGATCGGACATTGCATTTTCTTTTTGTATCATGAATACAAAACTTCAAGATCTGATAAAATACACTGGTCTGCTTAAGTAAAAAGCTGCTGAGCGAAACATATATAGTTTTTTCATTTGTCAGTGCATATCAAAGCTTGACTTTGAAAGTTACCGACTTCGAGGGTTTTCTGTCTATCCCATCTCTGTATTTGTAGAGTAGGGAGGTGAGTGTAGGTCCACAGCACTTATGCCACATGTGACCCATTGTACATCTTCCCGAGGAGTTGTCCTCCTAGGTCATCGTCCATCCTGTCCGAACACACACTCTCTTATTGACGATAACTCAGGACACTCGCATAGGACATGTCTGACAGTCTCATCTTCCCGTTTACACATCCTGCATAGAGGTGTGTCCACTAGACCCATATTATGGAGGTGTTTCCTTAGTTGACAATGGCCAGTCAGGAATCCTACTGTTGAGCGTAGATTTTTCCTGGTCATCGCCAAATATTTCTTCGGCGCCAGCTTCCCATGGTCGCCTAGGGTGAACCTGGCAAAATTGCATCCTTTGACTTCATCCCATCTCTTCAGGGATTCAGCATGGGTGTAACATTTGGCTAGTTTGGCAATTGTCGAAGTTATCAGGCCGTAGGTGCCACTGGGTCTCTATCGATCCCATATATGGTGTCTTTCTGAGAGTCGTCATGATCATTTTTTTTGAAAGATCGAATGTATAACGAATTGTCATGTGGAAACCTATCAATTCACATAAATACTTAAAAGTTATGCTGAAACTCCAAAGTTATTTCAAATGGATATGTTTCTATAAAATTCTTCGAGAGACAAACTAGAATAGAAATGAATTGTGTACATAAAATACACAAATATTTTTTTGAACTTGGAGAGTATCAACAGATGAAGTACTTGCTTTGAAAAGACATGAAACTATTCACAGATTTGTGGTTTCGCAAAATTTTGGATGTTTTCCCATTAAGTTCCGAATAAATGAACTTTGAATTTGATTCACTATCAACTAACATTAAAAATGGTACTATCTGCATTTGCCCTGATAATTTCCAATCGGCAAATTGAATCAGAATAAATAAGAAGAGTGATACATAGGATAGGTGAATGGGTTTTAAAAAATCTCTTAATTTCTATTTTCAAAAAGAGTTTAGAAGTTGAAAAATTGCTCTAAAATACAACAAAACCACCGAACAAGGAATATGTATGGAACGAAGGCATTTTCTATCATCTATTTCTCATAGGGAAGCTTCCCTCTTAGGACCAATTCAAATAGTCAACGATGGAATAATAACAACACGTTGACCTTCTGAGTGATATAGAGATTGAGTTAATGAATACATTTTTCAGTGGATGTGCTACGTGATTTTCTTAGAAACTTGTATATTTCTGATCGTCAAATTCTAAAGATGACAAAGATATTATATATTTACCTGTAACTTACTGAGTTTGTCGAGAATTAGGTACCGGAGAACTTATTTTAACTGTCATCACGAAACTATTCAGAAGAGTTTCTGTTGAAAAAAGAGAACGGTTCAAAACTATGCCAAATCAACTTCTGGAAATGTTGAAATGGTCATCATTGATTCAATAAAATAAATACTTCATCGATATAATTCTAACACACGAAATTTTTGTTGGGGATACTTATTTTATGATCTGAAACAAGTTTTTCAGGCCTTTTCATCCTACTAACTTGAATTTCATCTTATTCAAGTAACAGTTCATTGTAAAATTTTTACCGGACTATAAAAAAACACAGGTTTTCACGGCCGAAGTCACGAATGGAATGAAACCTGAATTATCAAACGTTTCATCTGCTACTAACGCACGACGAAATTTATATTTCGAAGTCTCAGTAACGAACGATCGGTGAGCTACGTATTTACTCGTATTTATACTTCCAGAGGGTGGTGGGGGTGATGGTGGGGGCATTTGCAGGTGGTGGGGACGATGACGAGGTGTCCATACATGTCACAATGAAGTGTTACTTGAATACGTTATGGGTTTCAAGCAAGTATGATGAACACTTCAAATAGTAATTAGATATCAAAAATCAAACGTTTACTGAAGTCACCCGAATGTTTGGTTACTTTCATTCACAGTTTGAAACATTGTATACAGAAATTACAGTTTTTTTCAATATCATTATACATATATGTTTAGCCAACAGACAAGGTTTGGGCTGCAGGATTTGGCTTTGAATTTAAGAAACCCGTGAGCATGATTATGAAACATTCAGGAGAGGATATCATTTTAAAAACTTCTGTTCAACAACGATACGACTTGGAGGTGGAGTGAATATTCAAGGAATATTCAACAAGGAATATTTTCACTGTTTACGAATGTTCTTATTGGAATATTTTCCATAATTCATAATTTTGAACTGCTCTATGTAGGTGTAACACTCTGTAATGTTAGATCAGACACTTCACAGGAAATGAGAAAAAAGCATTTGGTACTCATTTCTTCCACCACAATGAAAAAATTCCAAACTGCTGAAAGGAATTACAAATAACGTATTTTTTATGAGTAAATGAAACCTTTTCTTTTAATTTCTGAATTGGGAGTCTTTATTGAGACTGAACTTTGAATGTTTTCTGAGAAATGAAGATCATGTAATGAGAAGAACTTCAAGAGAAATAGATGGTAATGAGATATGTAACGATGAGAATATTGTTTTGAACCCCAATCGTATTAATTGAGGTCACAAAAATACATTCATCGATGACTTTATGATAAGGTGTGTGACGAAAAGTGATAATGAACATTTTTGTGTATAATAGTGATAATCCAGTAGACAATTATTTATTTGCTTATAGGAACGTAATTAAGGATTATTTATTTTTCTTAAACTCTTCGACAGGTAGAGTTGAAGACTCGAAAAATTCAACTTTCTCTGTCGACTTCATTTGGTGAACCCGAATATGTTATCTTGTTATTTATATTTCATATTTGTAAATAGAGGGTGTCTGTTCTTGTTGTAGTATGTAGATGAAAATATTATATCCTTTTTATGTATCGAAGGAGTTTTGATTGATTCCAAATATATTCGAGATTCATGGCAAAGAAAAAAGAACTTTCTCATATATTATTATGAATTGTTCTGCAGTGATTCACAAAAGTGTTCTCATGATTATTAGAAGATTCATGGGTCATGGTTTGTATTTCAACAATGAATATGTTTCATTTACCAGAGTGAATTTCTGTTGGACACTTTTCAGAAATTTTGAAATTTATTTTGTTGACAAAAATCAACTGATTTTTATAATAATGAGTTAATTTGTAATATAATATAAAAAATAAATATAGTTTACAAAACACGCTTTTAAAGAACATCGAACTNAAAAACTAAAAAACACGCTTTTAAAGAACATCGAATTGAAAAGTTGAAATTTTTTTTTTCAATTTCGATATTGTTTTTTCATTTCGATATTGTTTAAAAGCGTGTTTTTTAGTTTTTTAAGTATATTTATTTCATATAGAAGGACAAGAACACCAAAAACGACAAATTATAACAATATAATAAGAATTGATTTTGACGCTAGACTAGAACTAATAAGAGTAATGATAAATGACTTGATTTTTGATGTTTTTGTTTTCATTGTTATTTGGTTTTTATTTTCAAATAGAGATTGAGAAATAGGTAGGCAGATATTTTGTAAAATTTAGCATTCAGATTACTTTTCTTGATGATCAAATACATTATTGTAACGAATTAAAGAATTAACTGTTAAACAAATTCATTTTTAACAATATTTCACTATCACAACTAATTTATATAGAACACTTAGCAACTAACGCCAAATTTATCTTCACTGTTCGAATTCTTTGTCAACCGCTCGATTCGCTTTCTGAATACAAACTCCCTCTCTGAATGGGAAGCCGACCTTTTATATCGGTAATGATCGTTCTAGATTTCTCTAGTGGTCTCTGTTCCCGCCTTGTATTTTCCCGGTGAGTCATGTGTTTGCTGGCTAAGGTATCGGTCAGGGCCGGCTCCAGATTCGTTACATTATCTTACCAACATTTTGAAAGCTGACACTTCCCATGAGTCTCAATCTACAAATATCCTTACTATGAATAAAACTGATAAAATTTCCAATGAGGATGAAAATAATAATCAAAGTGCGGAGACCACCTAAGAAAACAGCTTTTAATAAAAATTTATAAAAGAAAAGTACGATAGTATCTTCTGTAAATTTTGTCATGTCAGAATCGTTGTTGGCAAGTGTCACATTGAATGGCACGACAAAAGCATGTCACACCTCAGCAAAATGAAAACTTCTAGGACTAATGTGGAAATAAATGAAATTCTTGTTAATTAACCAAAAGTGGCACTGAATGAGGCAGTCAACTGAAGTTGACTGCATTTGTAACAGAACACAATCTTTCATTCGAAATGATGTATCACTACCAATAGCAGCGAAATAATGACTGACATCTTATCTGACCTGAAATTAGTTGTCATTTGGAGTTTTGAAAGTTTGCATGATTTTTGTTCGCAATCAACCATGGAAAGCAGCAGCGATAGTTAGTCTGAAAATATACCTTACAAGAGTTTCAATGGAACAGTTGCTGCTACAGCACTATCATTTCAGATGGCTCATTGAGTTAGAAGATTGAAAATATGAGTTGCATCTCATTTCAAATAATTTTTGCTCAATATTGACCAAAAGCAAACATTTTTTTATTGAAATGATATAAATATTCACATGTCTACATTTGTTAAGTACCTCTACCTCAAGGGTAGAGTAGCAAAGTGACTTCTACTTCAGACAGGCGCGCCCTCGCGTCCCCGCCGAGAGGAGGTGGTGGGAAACGCCCCCCGCGGGTTGACGTTCACCCAGAAACATAGACTTTATTACAAACGACTACCTAGGTAATCTGCCTCCTGCTGCCAAGGCTTATGCACACCATTACATGGTTTTGATATCCAGGTCGTTCAAATGAAAACATAGCTGTCGATGTGTTGGTTAGCTAGATACTCCTGGAAAAAGTTCATGAAAAAAAACAGGACAGAATGTAACTCAATGTTGAAGTGATTATGACGTTTCGATTTTTTTTTGTTCTCTAGGAATTTCCTGAAAACAGTGAAGGAAATTATAGATTTGATAAATTTTCTAATATCATCACGAACAAAAACTACAGTAAACCTCTGAGTAACAATAGTTATTTATGTATCAAGGGAATTAGGAGGGCCTTAATTACCGATGGCAAAGTTTGCGTCCCGAGGGCCTCT